CTCCTCACAAAGTGTCTTCAGCTCCCGAGAGGGGTCTGGGGTGGGGATGGGGGGCAGGTCAGCCCAGGGCAGGACCCCACAGGTCTGACGGCTTCCCCCCAACCAGAGTTTTGGGCCTACCTGGGAAACGCCCCAGCCTCAGGGCACTGCCCCAACCTGCGAGAAGAGACAGGCCCTCGGATGCAGACAGAAAGAGAGAGAGAGAGAGAACCACAAGGACAGAGAAATAAAGCCTTAACAAGCAAAAGGGAGGGATAAGAAAGCTAGTGGCTGAGTACCAGGGTGGGTGGCGAGGCCTGGAGAGAATAGACTGCATCTCCCCACTGTGCTTTTGGCCCAGCCAGTTCAGGGCAGGTACTGACCCCGTCAGGCACCCACTCAGGGCTGAGGACAGGGCCTGTGGGACTCAGCTAAGGACCCAGGCTGCCATGGGACTAGGAGCCAAGTTTGGATAGTCAGAGCTGCTGGGCAGGTTGGGACTGCCTGGGCAGGTGAACCCCCCGACTGGGCATGCGCAAGCACCACCCCATCCCCCCCACTGCACAGCCAGCAGCTCCTGGCCTGGCTTATCCCCAGCACTCCCTAGGTCCTGGTGATCTCATCCATGGCAGGCTGTGAGCCCACCTGACTGGGGTACATGAGACCGTGTCTCAGGGGCCCCTGGGCCATTAGCCTCCTCCTCGTCACTCTCAGCAAAGTCATCCAGGTTGCCCACATCGCTAGGCTTCACGCTCATGAGGCTCGCAAGACTCTGCATGTCATCGTCCCTGGGGGGTCAGAGGTCAGGGGTGAGGGCTGAGGTCAGGGGTTCCAGACTCAGGCCAAGGAAGGAGGATGGGCACTCACGTGGCACGGCCCTCCCGCAGCAGTACCCCCGAGAGAGTGAGGCTCAGCTCAGCTTGTACCACCTTCACGGACTTGGGCTTTAGCCGCAGCCGCAGGGGTGCTCGGGCAGGCACGGGCCCTGCGTAGTGGGCCAGGTCCACCTCAGCAGTGGCCAGCACCTTCCGTTGTCCCTTAGATTCCTGTGAGCCAGGAAAAGAGGCGGGCAGGGAAGGATAGTCAGTGCTGCCCCAGAGTCCCCAAGAGCCCAGGTCCCAGCCTGCCTGGCCACTCACATTCTCGATAACAAATGTCCACTCCTTGGCCTCATACTGGTCCACGTGAGGGTCCTAGGAAACGAGGGCACCAATGAGTACAAGGGCTCTGGGGTGAGAGCAGTGTGGGGAGAAGGGCCAGCTGTCTCTCACTGTGTGTGGCAAGTATGTGTGCATGCCACCCCCTCCGAGGAGACCTCTTGGGCCACCCCTACCCCATCTTGGTTCTCCATCTCACCCCTCTGTTCTATCCTATTTGGATGGATAACCCAATGGGGATCCCCCGGGGCTGCCTGGGTGGTAATCGTCCCCCCACCTATGCAGAAGGGCTAGAGACTCACCCTGTAGAGGGTCACAGAGATGTCCACATTTTCTGGCACCATCCACACCACGGTGCCCCGGTATGGGTTCTGGATGCCTGGCTGCCAGCTGTGGGCCTGCAGGGAGTGGTGGAAGGCCTCCCCTGACTCTTAACTCTCCCCTCACCACCTGCCCTTAGCTCCAGACTTGATCTCATCTTTCTCTCCCTTCTATGGATTCTAATCTAAACCTGAACCTGACTTTACTCCCCCATCAGTTCTCATGTACCCACTTTCCCCACACCCTCTGTTAGCCTCACCCACAACCCACAACCTGGACCCCTTTCCAGTTGACAACCTCCCCCACCTTGGAGCAGATGCGTCGATTCCGCCGGGTCCACACCACCACCAGCTTATCCGGTTGCCTGGGAGTTGGGAGAGGGGGTCTTCTCAGTCAGGCCCACCCACCCAGCCTCTCCATATCCTCCAGGGTCTTCCTTCTGCCCACATCCCCCTCCCCCAGGAGAGCCCCCCCCCCCCCGCAGAGCCCCTTATCTGGAGCCACCAGGAGCAGGGTGGGGCTGTGGAGGCAGGGTGGGGCCCAGGGCAGAAGGGCAAAGGCTCCAGTGGGTCGGCAGGGATTACGAAGACTGACAATGAGAGACACAGAGACATACAGAGAGACCAGCACACACAGAGAGGTCCATGCACACAGCAAGGACCCTCCAAGAGACACACTGACTCAGAGAGACAGACATGGAGTAAAACAAACCCATTTGCTCACAAATATTTGGGCAGTGTGGACTGTAAACCCAGCCCAGTTTAGAGGCAGAGCAGGGCAAAGGAGAAGCAAGACCCTTCTCAGGCTGAGGACAACAGAGCTTGGGGAAGAGTGCCAATCGAGAAGGGAAATAAATTAACCAGCTGACTTTAGGGAGATAGAGAGCCACTGGGGTCTCCTTGAGGTTGGGGTGTCTGAGCAGAGGCTCAGAGGGGAGGGATGGGCTGTGTGAGTTGTCTAGAGAAGGAAGGCTCAGGAAGAAGGAATGGAAAGCACAGAGGTCTGAGACTGTGGGGAGATTCAGGGTTAGAGTGAGAGTCAGAGGTTGGGAGGTGGTCAGGGAGGCAGAGCATCAGCTTGTCATTAGACAGCCACCCAGGGCCTTCTATGTCCAGCCCTCTGCTGAGCCCAGGGGCCCTGAGAGTCAGCCATGCTCCCCACCTCTCAAGCCCCAAGCCCGGGACTCTTGCTTTGCAGGGCCCCTGATTCCCACAGGGGGCATCAAGGAAGACTTCCAGAGGGTGACCTCCAAGCTGAACTGCATATGCCAGGGCAGACTCAGAGGAGAGGCAGAGATGTGAAGAGAGCAAAGAGTTGCCTGAGCAGGCCCGGCCCCACAGAGCTAACGTGTGGCTGGGCCTGGGAGGGAGAAAGCTGTTTTGGGTTAGAAGGTCCAGCTCCTCCTCATGAGGGTGGAGATGGTTGAGGGGACCATGAAGCCGAGGACAATGCAGGAGCCCTTCTTGCCTGCACCCAGCCCCATGCCAGGACACTTAGGTATACCCACCCCCCTGCCCCTCTGCAGGCTGAGCCAGGATAATTGGCTCTGCTGTCAACCCCTGAGAATGCTGAGGCCCAGAGAAGTTGGGAGCCAGGGAAGGTCACAAAGCTGAGCCCAGAGCTCTCTGGCCAAGCTCCCCTCCCGAACCCTAAATTGCAGACAATGCAAACTGCAAACTTCCCAGAAAGGGGAAGCAGACAGGGGGTGCCTAGAGAGGGCGGGGCCTGGCTAGGCAGCCTGACTCAGGCTGGGCACGTCTTCCTGGGGAGCCAAGACCTGGGCAGGGGCAGTTTCCTAGCATGGGCTCCTGGCTAGGAAGCCCAGGAAGCCCTGCCCACCCCCATGACTCAGATGCATTGATACTGCCCGCACCCCAGGCCTGCTCTCTGGGACCAAGCCCAGCGTCCCCTTAGCCTCACCCAGGATGCTGAGGCAGAAGCCAGAGACCAGAGTTGAAGTCCTAGCTCTGTGCTGTGCTACTTTAGCCAGCTCTTGTCTTCTCTGGGTCGCACCAAATGGAGTGAATGGCCTTCTGGCTGGCCCAGTGAAAACCAGGGACATGGCTGCTGCCCAAGGGACCCTAGCCTCCTGCTCACTACCCTCCCTTTGGACCCCATGATCCCTTCCTGCCCCAGCAGCTCTTCCTCTTGGGAACCTAAATTTAGCCCCGCCTGACGGGTGAGGCCCCCACAGCTGCGCCCTAATCCAGCCAAGGGAAGCCGACACCAGTGAACACGTATATTTAGGGTGTGACGCAGGGGTCCGGGCAGCTGCGGGTGGGAGCATGTGAACAAGATGCCTCTGGGCCCTTAGGCAGTCCAGGCCAGGTCCTGTACTCTTCTCACAAATCTCCCCCCACCAGGCCACCTCACCAGCCCCAAGACCTCTCCTTCCCGACTCACAACCTTCTAGGCCTGCAGGCCCCTTTAAGCCATCCCTGCCTCTCTCCTCATCCGTCTTGATGCTCAGTTTCCCCTTTTAAGGACATAGTGGAAACATATCCAGCCTCCCAGCACCCACTCAGCTGAAGTGGGTGTGTGGGTTCCTTTGGCTCAACAAGTGGGTGGGGGAGGCAACATCCTTGTTCTGGGCTGTACCACAGTCCATGAAGGTTTCAGCCACAGCCTGGCCACCAACGGACCTCAAAATTTGCTACCTTTTCTGATGTTACCCCAAAACATTCCTCTAGTCAAAAAAAAATGAGGCCTCCCTTCCCCCAGTGCTGCATGCAGCTGAGGAAGGTGTGAGCACAGATTCTCAGGCCTGCAAGTTCTGACCTCAACACCGCAAAAGCTACCCACAGCCCCAACTCCGGGGGTCCCACAAGCTGCAAGGGCACTTTTGAGTCTCTGTCTCTGGGACACCAGAGCCCAAGGTGGGGGCGAGGGGCCTAGTTGGCCACTGGGCTGGGGAGTTTCTCTCTGGCTACCAGCAGCGCCATGGGGTCCCAGCCGAGTACCCCAGGCCTCCCAGCCACTCACCATTTCTTGGTGCACTCCACCACCAGCTCGTGGTAACAGGCCACAAACTGGAACTTGGCGGCCCGCTTGCCCACGCGCTGCAGGCGCTTCCACACCGAGGTCATGGCCCCCGCCGCCCCAGCTGCTGGCTCTTCAGACCCGGGGCTTCCGCTGGCCCGCAACCGCTGGCCGGGCCTGGGTCCCCATGGCCTCCCGGGCTGCTATCCGCGCCGCCCGCCCCGTCCGTCGGAGATGTCCGAGGCTCGGACCCGGAGCCGATCGATCTCCCCGCTGCGGCCGCTGGAGCCCGCCGGGGGCTCTGGCGGAGTCGGCCGGCCGGGTCGTCCGGGGGGCGTCGGGTCGCGGGAGCGCTGAGCGGCCAGCGCGCCGTTTCCTGGAGCCGCACCCCCCGTCGGGAGGCGGGCGGGGCTCCGGCGCGGGGCGGAGGCCGGGGCCCCGGCCGGGGCGGGAGCGGGAGCGAGGGGCGGGGCGGCGCGGCTTCCGGGACTTCGCGCCGTCGCCGCGGTTGGGGGGGTGGGGGGGGGCCGTACCAAGGGGGAAGCCTGGTCCGCAGCGCCCGCTCGTAGCGCGCGGCGGCGGTGTGGACGCGCAGGCCGGGGAGAGAACCTAGTGCCGCCCTCGGGAGCATGGCCCGGAACGCCACCCTTCCTGCCCGCAGCCCTGGGAGGTACGTACTGATGGCCCCATTTCACAGGCGGGGGAAATAGAGCCCCAGAAAGAACAGACTTGCTCAGGACCACACTGAGAATCTGGGCCAGAGCCAACTGTTCTCAACATCAGGAGTCTGCCACCCACGTCTCAACCTCAATAGGAAGGAGCAAAGTCAAGGATCAACCTGGATGGCCCTACCTGTGGGCAGCACCCATTTGCCAGTCTCAACCTAATTCCTTAGCTGTCAAGTGGGAGGATGGTCCGAACATCCCACAAGCAGCCGATTTCCAAAAACTATGGGACCTTGGGCAAAGCCTTAACACTCTGAGCCTCAGTTTCTACCTCTGTTAAATAGAAATAATTATGTTTCTGTCTCTTACACAGCCACTGAGAGTATGAAATCTTGGGAAGCATTTAGTTCGGAGACTGGCTGGTTTTCTACAGTCTCATTAGAATCCGTTATCGCGGACGAGAAAGTGCGTGAGTATGCGCACCTGCGCAAACACGTGTTTACTCTCCCCTAAGAAGCCTGCCCCAGGCGTTAGCCACCCTGTTCACACCTGTTCACACCTCGATTAGAACCCTTATCGCCCACCCGCTGGCCTGGCATAGTAATGAGCACCAGCAAGTATCACAGCAGGAGTTAGAGAACTGTCCTGGGGCAGCGCATCAGCTTCTTTCCCTCTTGGCCAGCACTCAGCAAGGGTTGTGAATGAACTGGGTGCTTAATACTTGGTTTGAACAGGATATCTGTCTGATCTGCCAAGAGTGATCGCGGTTGTCTCCAGAGGCAAGTGACTGTGCATAGGGTGTGGGGATGAGCAGCCTGTAAGCCTAAGTGTGTAACTTCGAGGTCCTCTCCTCTTCGTCTCAGGGAGTTGCGGGGGTGTTATGTATGTGCCCAGATATCTGAGCATCCACCGTCCCCAAATGTGCAGGCTTCTTTTAGCGAGCCTGACACGTGGTCTGGCTCCCAGGCCCAGCGTTGTGGTCCTCGGTTTCCTCTGTAAGAGAAAGCCCTTTACATACAGACCAAAGGCTCCAAGTGCTATGGGGGCAGCCAGGAGGCCTGTACGAATAAGTGCAGAGTATCTGGCACCCAATCACTCCTCACCGAAACTGGGTCTCAGGTACTGAAGCCCAGGACCCTGCCCCCTTCTCTCCCCCGCCCCAGGGTTTATGTGGCCTCCAGGGAGCCACGGGCCAATGCAACTTCACCCCCTTCAGCTTCTGCAGCGGTTTCCTCCCACTCAAAGAGCACTCACTAGCTCCCAGGCCCTTCCGGGAGGCGCCTTCCCCTCTCCCGCCTAGAGGCCCTAGGCCCAAGGGCTCAGGCCCACCCATTTCCTGTGCCGCCCCAACTCCGCCCCTACTCGGGGTGGAAAGTTTCTCTCAAGATAGGCGGTTCCTTCTCCTTCCTTCCCGCCGGGAAGGACCAAAGCAAGTCGGGGTGGGGGGTGGGCTCCCACATCTCTGGCCAGAGAGGGGAAATTACTCGCCCGCCGTCGCAGAACCGCGGGACTAGCTCCGCCAGCTGGATGTGCTCCCCAACCTCGTCAGTGGAGGGAGGACTCGCACTCCTTTGCCGGCCGGCCTTTCTTCCACTCGGGGGTCTTGCGCGCCACCTGCCGGCAGAGCGCGGGGCCGCACTTGCCAGAAACACCATCTCCCCGCCCCAGAGCCAGGCATTCAAAACACACAAGAAAGCCGAGAGAGGATTTATTTAACTACGTGCCCAAGAGTCTGGCCCCTAAACTTAAATATCCAGCACGGAGCCTTGGCCCTCCCGGCCGTGGGTGGGTGCAAGAATGGGAATGCCCTGGTCTAGAGCAGTGGAACCCAGGGACCAAAGGTGGGATGCCCCTGAGCCAGCAGCTGCCATAGCAGCAAAAGGTGAAAAAATGGGAACCAAGCACTCATCCCAATCCCAGAGACGTCAAGGGGAGTGCCAGATGCTTTGGGCCCCACCACCAGATTGAAGGTTGGCCAAGCTGGGGTGCACACATGTGGGAGTAGTGGAGGTCCAGTGCGGTGGGCAAAGGCTGTGGCCCAGGTGCCTGCCCCAGTGTTAGCTAACCGGAGTCAGAAAAGAGGTGGTTGGCAGTTTTGCCTCTGAGGGGCTCAAGGCTTGCCTTGTGAAGTGGGTATAGGGGAAAGCAGGCACTATAAGTCTGAGTACTTACTAAGGGGTGAGTTTCTGAGCCTTTTGCATGGGTGCATGTTCCCCCCACCCTCAGCTCTTCAGAGGCTGATGTGAAAGGCGTCCTGCAGCCACTGGTCACGGGCATTGTGTGTCTGGGGCACAGTGAGGGGTGGTGGGTCCGGGGGTAGGCTGGCATCAGGAGGCTCATCGTCATCAGAAAGGCCAGCATCAGGTGGATAAGAGCTGTCTGAGTGCAGGGAGGATGACAGGTCCTGGCACAGGCTCAAGTCTTGGCACAGGTGCTTATAGTCTTGGATGGACTCGTACAGGCCCCACAGCTGGCACAGCAGGGACATATCCAGCTGCCGCAGCCCCACCTGCAAAAGACTGAGGGTGGGCTGGGGTTGGGGTCCAGGCCACCCTCAGCCCTAGCCAATCTTCCTGCCCCTTTTTAAGCATAAAGTTTTGTGGACATCAGATTGCCACCTGCAAGCTGACTCCTTAAGTAAGTCACTGATCCTCAACTGTAAAAGGGGATAACATTTACCTAGCAGGATGCAATGAAATAATATGAGTAAAGCATTTAAAAATACATGGTAAGTATTGCCATAGGTAATAACTATAATCATTGTTACTATATCCCCTCTGACCCAAAGGGCTTTTGTAGATCTTCTGAAACTCAAGCCATGAGTTCCCGGTTCCGTGCCTCTGCGCTGCGCCCCATCCTGGGACCCTCATATTCAGCTGCGGCCCCCCGCCCAGCTGGCCCGGGGCCCAGCTACTCACCATCTCTTTGCGCAGCGCTGCTAGTGCTGAGTCGAGATTAACAGGACGACGCGGGCCGGGGGGACCTGCGGCAGCTCCTGCGTTGGTGGCGCCCGCCGCGTAGCGGGGCCCATCTGGGAGGCGGGCGGCGCGGCTCAGCTCGTCGTGGATGCGGCTGCGCTGGCTGTAGATGCGCTCCAGCTCCCGCCACGAACCCCCGCTTGCGTTGAGGAGACCGCTGAGGCCGCGCGGTAGCGGAGGGAGCCCGGCTAGGGCGCAGCCAGCGCCGCCCGGCGCCTCGGCCGAGGGCAGCCCATTCATGGCCTGGCCGGCGCGGACCGCGACGCAGCCTACTGCCCTTCAACGCTCCGCCCGGGCCACAGCCCGCAGGCTCCGCACCGCGCGGCCCCGCCGGCCGAACCCAGCCGCCGCCCGCAGGCCGCGCTTTGTTCCTTCCCCCGACTCCTCCGACTCCGCCCCTGCCCCACCCCCTTCGCATAGGCAGGGCCTCTCTTAAAAGGGCTACGTTGGTGGGCCCAAAGTGCGAATTCTGAGCAAGGGAGTGGGGCAGCCACTGAAAGGGAGCCAGAAAAAGGGGCGTGGGGGGGGCGGTGGGGAAAGACCCCAAAAGCGACGAACACGTCTCTTTTACGGCTCTTTTTGCTCCCCCCACAACAATATGTATAGTTATTCTGCCCAATTTTAACTCTCCAGGGTAAGATCTAAACCTGGGGTTGGGGCGGAGGGAGGGCGGGGTCATGAGACTAGGGTAAGTCCATACTTGGTCCCCAACGTGCAACCTGATGCCCTGTCAGGGTCTCAGTGTCTGAAACAGGGGCATGAGGTGGGTCGGGATGATAGTATCAGAATGCTCAGGGGAAGAAGACCCCAAAGGGGCCTGCAACCCAAAATCTCATTCAAGGGTGGGAACTGAGCATTGGAGGGCTGAAGAGCCTGAAGGGGTGCTGTAGTGGTCCATCTCTCTTGGTTCTGCTTTTAAGAAGGCTCTGACTTTCTCCTCAGAAAAAAGGTATCACATAGTTCTCTCCCTCTTCCCTCATTCTGAGTGGGGAATCCAAGCTGAAACAAGCCCAATTAATCTCTCAGGGCATCAAGGAGAGCAGAACAGTGGCAGGGTAAGAGGCCAAAGGCAGGAAAAAGGCAACCGGAACTGGAGCTGGCATGCACACTCAGAACCAAGAAAAGAACAAACCACACAAGAGGACAGCTGTTTTTCTAGAGGGTTTTTCTCAAGCGGGGCTTTTTTAGTGTTGAAGCTGCCGAAGGCTGCGCAGAGCCTCAGCACAAGCCCGGATCAAGCTACACAGCTGGATGCTAGTCTCCAGGGAGGTGCTAGAGCCCAGGTCAGCTGAGGCCCAGGTCAGCTTCTGCAGGAGGGCCTCCTGTGTGCAGGCCAAGACATCTGCATTTGGAGGCACAGCAGGAGGGGGTGGCCCCTGGGCTGCCTTGAGCCCTGCTGCAGCTCCCTCACAGTGCTCTGGACGGGGTACTGGGGGCTGAGGGGCTGGCCGAGAGCCCGAGGGGAGCTCCACGGCAGAGGCAAGCTGGTGTTCCCGAGCTTGGGAGAGAGCGGCCTGGGCATTCAGAGCTAAAAGAGGAGAAAGTGGGTGGAATGATCAGGAAGCATGTCCTGCGTCAGCCCTGGACCACTTCCTCTTTACTGCTCTGTTCATTCTGTACTTGAGATGCCTCTCTATAAGGTAACTCATCCATTTTCTTCTTGGTGTCACAGTTATTTATGCCCTTGCTTCATCTCTCCCATCAACACTATGCCCGACTTAGCTCAGACTTTTCATACTGTCTGGCACACAGGTGTTTAGTGCCCCTACTAAATGAATGCTCCTCTCTAGAGCCGAAAGTAGAAAGCACCTTACCTCCGCTTCACCCACAGACTCCATTGTCACCTCCCAAACCTACTGTTACCGGGCCTTTATCACCACGCGGCTTCTCCACCAAGCATAATCGGCCCCTCACCCGGATTGTCTTTATCCACGTCTGAGTCGAGCTCCTGACAAGCCACGCAGTAGATTTTCCGCTGTTTGTCTTGAAGGAGGATCGTCTAGAAGCAGAAAGCACGGGGACACGGGTGAGACGCCGGGCGATGCGGTCCAGAGGGGAGAGCTGGGGCAGGGCCGTGCGGCCTGGTCCGCGGCCCCATGCCCGATCCCAGGTCCCGAGCCTCTCCTCACCCCGCAGTCCGCGCACGTCTCGCCCAGCATGCGGTAACCACGCAGCAGGTAGTCGCCCATGAGCCGAGAGATGCGGTCCTGTCGCTCCCTTCGCGCTTGCAGAACCTTCGTCTCCGCTTCGGTTGGGGGCTCCCAGGAGAAGTCGTCGACTTCTGGGGTTAGAGAGGCACAAGAGACAGAGGGGTCTTGCCCGAGCGGGCTACCTCCTGCACCCCGCAACCAGAGGCCCCCACAGCCCAAGTCCTCACCAGCACCGTTCAGGGCCATGTTGCCGTTGTCGCCACTAGGCTCAACGCACGTGACGTACAAGCGGAGCGCTTTACGCTCGGCTCCGCCCCCTCCGCTTAGACCTAGGATGAGGGCGGAAACAGCGCCTCCCAGACGTTAAGATGCGGGGAGTGGGGCATGTCTGCTGCGGGAGATCCTGGCCTAGGGGCGAGCCCCTCGGCCCGAACCCAGTGGACGAATTGGGCTGGCGGGGCCGCAGGAGGGCGGTCTCCGGGGTAACGTCGCTCGGGTCGCAGGACCTGAAAGTGGCTGCGCGGGGTCGCCCTTCCTGCCGGCCGCAGATGGAGAAGACCCCTTGGCTTGAGAAATCCACGCTGGCCTCCGCCTCCCCTTGGATTTCCCGTTCTGCACTGGTCGGACCTGGGCCAGGCGGGGCAGCGGCGTCATCACAGCACCACCCTCGATAGTAACAGGTGGCCACTTGCGCGCCCGCACAGCCTCTTCAGTACTCGGTGCTTTCTCACTGCAACCGGCAAGGCAGGCCAGGCGGGGGTCGTTCTCCCTTTCTATACCTTTCAGCCTATTTCAAGACACCCTCACCCCCTTCTGCATGTTCAGAGGCCCAGTCTGCGGATACCCTTAACTCCAAGGCCCGAGGCCGATGTAAAGTCCGCCCCTAACCTTTTTTTTCTGTTTTAAGTTTAAGGCCCCCCAAACGCAGGCTGCTTGGAAAAGCACTGCACTGGGCTTGCCCAGGTCCGGGTCCGCAGCAGCTGCAGAGGGGTTCCTGATGGATGGTGAGGCTGAAGGACCCAATAGTTACGCTTATGACCGTTATGCTTTTTTTAGGTGGGCTCTGTTAAAATTACTAGTGCTCCCTGAGCACTGGCCTTAATTTTGCCCCCTCTTCTGCGTTCTCTCTTTACACATCCTCTGCCTTATTAGATTTGGGGAAGCCAGATAGGGCAGGTAGTGGTGACCAGATGTGCCGCCTGAAGTGCCTTAAGGCGGCACATCAGGGCAGAGGAGAAGGAGCTAGGATTTAGACCGTACAATCTCATTGCAGCCTCCTTTTTTGACTAGACAGCCCGTGCTTCTGCATTCTTACCTGAAGAGCGAATGCCCTTCTGGTGCCATCTTCCTTCTTCATAGACTCCATGGAACTGCCATCATCTGACCCTTGCTGCCACCTGCTTGCAGAGCCTTGTGCCCCTCTTCACTCTCCCAGCAGGCTCTCTGCCAGCGGTGTTCCTGACTCAGGGTCTGACCCTAGGTCAGTTCTGCCAAGCTGATTAGAGGAACTCTTGGACTCTAGCCTGCGTGCACAGACCCTCCAGGTCCGTACTGTCTTCATCTCCCAACACCATCCGAAATTCCTCAGTGTACCCTTCTGGGTCATCATAATGGCCAGTATCCATTCAACAGCTTATTCTTTCTGGAACCAAATAAAACCCTGGCATTTGTCCTCCTATTTAATCCCTGTCATTTACTCCTCATGACAGCCTTACCAGGAAGATACTACTGTTATCTCCATTTAACAGAACAGGAAACAATAATCCCTTTATTTATTTATTTTTTGAAAAATTCTATCTATCCATTCATGAGAGAAACAGAGAGAGAGAGACAGAGACGCAGGCTCCATGCAGGGAGCTCGATGTAGGACTCGATCCCGGGACTCCAAGATCACGCCCTGGGCTGAAGGCAGGCACTTAACCACCAAGCCACCTGTGCGTCCCCAATAATCCCTTTAAAACAAAAATCAGGGACTCCTGGGGGGCTTAGCAGTTGGGCATCTGCCTTTGGCTCAGGGCATGATCCCAGTTTGGGGATCAAGTCCCGCATTGGGATCCCTGTGGGGAGCCTGCTTCTCCCTCAGCCTCTCTGTGTGTCTCCCATGAATAAAAAAGACAAACAAAAATCATAAATCAGAGGGTGCCTGTGTGGCGCAGTGGTTGAGCATCAGACTCTTGGTTTTGGCTCAGGTCATGACCTTGGGGTGATGGGATCAAGCCCTACACGGGGCTCTTCACTCAGTTCCCTTCCTTTCTACCCCTCCCCACCATGCTCTTGCGTACATGTGCTCTCTCTCAAATAAATAAATCTTTTTTTAAAGATTTATTTATTCATGAGAGACACAGAGAAAGAGAGAAGCAGAGATACAGGCAGAAGGAGAAGCAGGCTTCCCACAGGGAGCCTGATGTGGGATTCCATCCCGGATCCCGGGACCATGCCCTGAGGTGAAGGCAGGTGCTCAACCACTGAGCCACACAAGTGTCCCAATAAATAAATCTTTAAAACATTAATTAGGTTAAGGGTGCCTGGGTGTCTCAGTTGGTTAAGCATCTGCTTTTGGCTCAGGTCTTCATCCCAAGGTCCTGGGATCAAGCCCCAGATCTGGCTCCCTGGTCAGCGGGGAGTCTGCTTCTCCCTCTCCCTCTGCCCCCTGCTCATGCTCTCTCTTATGCTCTCAAATAAATAAATAAAATATATTTTAAAAGATTTTACTTATTAATTCATGAGAGACAGAGAGGCAGAGACACAGGCTGAGGGAGGAGAAGCAGGCTCATGCAAGAAGCCCCATGTGGACTTGATCCCCAGAATCCGGCATCACACCCTGAGCCAAAAGCAAACACCCAACCGTTGAGCCACGCAGGCATCCCTAAATAAATAAAATATTTTTTAAAAAAACATAAATCAGGTCAAATCACTCTTGCTCAAAACTCTCTGGCATCCCCCCATCACACTTAGACAAAAATCCAAAGTCCCACAAATCTGGTTCCTGGCCCTGCTCATCCCTTCCCACTCCCCCTACACTGCCTTCTCACTACTCAAGGGCACTCCAATCACCTTTCTCCCCTCAGGGCCCCTTCCTGCCTCAAGTTCTGCAAGAGGATGGACAAGGCACAGGCCTGGAATTAGGCTGGCTTGGGTTTGATCCTGGATCTGCTGCTGTGTCCCCAGGAGTAATTCACTTCATTTCTCTGGACTTCAATTCCTCATCTGTGAAACTGGGTCAGTTATACCTACTTAGCAGGGGTTGCCGTGAGGATTTAGAGAGATGTGAGGAGATAGGTGGTAGGAGACAATTGACTCCCAGTCTCTCACATGAATGCAGGTTTAGTGAGCAGACACTACCTTTATTCTGGACTGTCTTTTCCAGAATGCTTGTATAGTGAACAGCCTTGGACAACAGAGATAACTGGCTCCCTCCAGAGCAAAGGGCAGGCATACTTACTGCCCTTTATAAAATACCTAGATGCCCCAAGCTCAGAGTTAGTTCCTCCACTGTAACACAACTCACCGCTGTGTGTAGGCATTCATATGAGTCCACCAGCCTTGCTTTGGTGAGACTTGAGGATAAGGGGAAGTGACAAATATACTCATGTTCATAACACTTGTGTGCTGGGAGGAATAAAGTCCTTTATCTCTGACCCACAAGTCTCATGTCCTCTGCCAGTATCCATGAAATCGTGTCACCATAACTTGTTAATTTGAAAGTAGGCTGAAATGATCTAAAAGGAGGGGAGACGCCTGGGTGGCTCCTTGGTCGAGCATCTGCCTTTGGCTCAGGGTGTGTTCCCAGGCTCCTGGGATTGAGTCCCGCCTTGGGCTCCCTGCAGGAAGCCTGCTTCTCCCTCTGCCTGTGTCTCTGCCTCTCTGTGTCTCTCATAAATAAATAAAATCTTAAAAAAAAGATTAGAGAAAATCAACTAACCTACAAATTAATTCATTGAAAAGAGCAACAAAATTGACAAACCTTTACCTAGACTGACCAACTCAAGCCCAGCTTAGCCAACTGGAAAGCAATGTGACTGTGGTTGCTAAGTCAAGGAGTCCCCAGATGTGAGGTAAATAATGTCAGTGACCACCCAATAGGGGGTTTTAGACAGTAACATTTCCAGCTGACTGTGGAAACAAATTACAGCTGATCCATCTAGAGCACTTAGGTAGATGCCCATGCTCATGGGTCATTCTCTAATGAGACTGACAGGAATCAAGCTGTTGATTGACGCTGCATTGCCCAGATTGTCTCCATTTCTGCCTGGGTCCTTCATCGTAACAGACATGGCAACACGTCCACCATCACAGAGTGGGAGCAAAGTAAAGGACTCTTTACTTCTGGTGCAGAGCCCACTGCCCCATGCCAGACTTGTGATTCCTGACAACTTTCATCTGTATGTCCTGGAACTAGAGAGGCCACATTGTATGCAGTGTTGCTCCTGTTCACTCCTAAGGGGTTTAAATACATAGAATCTTTTACTCCTCCTTGGGGCTATGGGTGATGGCTCACACTTTTCCAGGTTACAATGGTGCTGCTCCAGTCCAATCAGCCAACTTCAGCCACATCATTGTGGTTCCTGAGACTTATCTGTGTTTTTTATTTTCTGGGTGATTTCATTTAACAACAGTGCAACTTTTATCCCAAAAGCTACTCAACAATGGGCTGATAGTCTAAGTATTTTGTGGTCCTTCCAAGCTCTCTATTATCCACTGTTGAGTGTTGAGTGTTGAAGTGGTCTCCTCAAATATAAACTCAACGGATGCCTGGGTGGCTCAGTGGTTGAGTGTCTGTCTTTGGCTCAGATCGTGATCCCAGAGTCCCAGGATCAACTCCCACATCGGTTTCCCTGTGAGGAGCCTGCTTCTCCCTCTGCCTGTGTCTCTGCCTCTCATGAGTAAATAAATAAAATCTTTAAAATATATATATAAACTCAAAAAAGCATTCAGCTCTTGATCTCAGGGTCATGAGTTCAAGTTCCACATTGGGGATAGAGTTTACTTAAGAAAAAACTCAGAAAGATTTCTGGCCCTCCCTCCGGGCCCACACACAGTGCAGCAGTTCAATCACTGAATGCAGCTGTCCCCAGGATGAAGCCATCTCCTCTTGGTCAGGTCCTTTGTTAATGATCAGGATAAGAAGTATGGGGTTTAGATAGACCAGTATTAAAAATTCACTGGGGCATCTGGCTGGCTTGGTCAGGAGAGCATGAGACCCTTAATCTCAGGGTTGTGAGTTTGAGCCCCATGTTGGGTGTAGAGATTACTTTAAAATAAATAAAAATTCAGGCTTCTACACTCACCATTCATGGACATAGGATTCTTTCTTCCCCCTCACACTAGCCCCAGCCTGGTTGGTGCATCTCCTGGGTGGCAGCTCAGTCAAAAGGGGGCCTACATGATTTACACTGAATTGTGGTTCAACCACTGAGGTTCTCTTGTTGGACTGCTATGGCCCTGGATCGTGAGAATAACTGGAGTGTTCAGTTATATCTCTTTGAGTCAGTGGCCCACATGTAGACTGGGAGGACATAATGAGTCCCTGTACATTGTATAAAAATTTCCTTTGGGACACCTGGGTGTCTCAGTGGTTGAGCATCTGCCTTTGGCTCAGGTTATGATCCCAGAGTCCTGGGATCAAGTCCCTCATTAGGCTCCCTGCAGGGAGCCTCCTTCTCCCTCTACCTGTGTCTCTGCCTCTCTCTGTCTCTCATGAATAAATAAATAAAGTCTTTTTTAAAAACAATGTCCTTCTTGTGCCAGATCCTTCCAGATGAGAGGTATAAGTAGGGAATGTTTGGGAAAAGGTGAAATTCTAGCCACTGGAATAGAATAGATTGATTTTATAACAATGGAAGGAAAACAACCGCCTCAGCAGCTGGGGAAGGAGTTCATCAAACACAGGAGACATAGAGGAAGAAGAGACTTTAATGATCTTTGTATTTCCAAGCCACCTGGAGTCTCCCTTACTGAGCAAAATATCTTGGTCCAATTTGTATAAGTTGGACTGTCACTTAAATTTAACTGACTGCTGGGTCTGGTATCCTCCACTAGACAGTCTGACCTTGATTTGATTGCCGTTCTAATCCTACTGAAGGCATGGAAGCAGCAGAGGGCATCCTCAGCTCCAATATTTCCCACATAAAATACTATGCCAATGCCAGCACCTCCAGGTGCCCTCCTCATCCCCCATCTTGCAGCCGTCACCACTCACAATTCCCTGGGGCAGATGAATGCCATTTGGCTAGTGGCATGGACAAGCAGGACAGGCTGGGCCCTCAGTGGGTCCATCCCAAAACACGGACTAGACTCAATTCTTTGGCTCGGACTGGAAACTCAACGGCTACTAATGTGTGGAGAGGCCACGCTGGGGGCACTGTCAACCTGGGCTCCCCAGCTGATGTAGGTCTGTCCCACTTGGGGGGTGCCAGATTTCTTTCCAGAAGCACCATGTGCACCTTTAAGACCACACAACTTGTATGGAGGTCAAACAGAAACCCGTCTCTTTCTTGAAAACAGGATGACTTGAAACTTATCCCCAACTTTAGTTGAAGTAATCGATGACAAATGTTGGCCTGGAAGGCTCTTAGGAGCCCTTTAATTCACAAACGTTGCTATGGATGATAGAAATTCCCTGGTCTTCTTCCTTGCAGGTCAGGGCAGAGTCTGTGCAACTGTTAATATATTCTGCTACGCCTGGGTTAACACTTTTGACCAAGTGGAGGGGCTGATACAGAGAACTAAGGAGCAAGCAACCTTGCTTTTTAAGGCAGATCTGATGCTTCAATGAATTTGTTCAGCTAAGACCCTGAGGGGTCTGGTTGAGGTGAGTACTGTAAATTGAC